GGCATTTGCCCCTATGTAAGCCGCCCTGAGCCCGCATTGCGGGGAGGGCAGGGTATAAATTGAATAAAATAAATAAATAAGTAAAATAAATCATAGGTTAAGTAAAATTTGTTCTTTAATAATCCTGTCTCTTACTTAATGTTTCTTACCTAATAAATGCTTATTATTATACAGCCTTAAGGCAAGTGATTTGTTTTGCTAAGATATTTGGTTGGAATCAAGGTTCTACCATTGTGTGCCTTGAGGGCTCAGTCAGGACCTCTTATCACCTGAAAATTTGGAGTCCTGGTGCAAAGGTCTGCTTGGATTTCCCATGAGGCTTGCCAACGAGGCCCAACTACCAGTGACCAGTCATACTTCAGTTGGTCATAAAGAGGAGTAACCCTGGCCTCAACTTAAAGATGAAAATCTGTGTAATGCCTGTCTCTCTCCCCCGTTTTGATAGGTACATTCCGAAAACAACCATTGCCAGTTGTGTTTGTCTTTATCAGCCAACATGCAAAACACTAGAGAGAAGGTATCTGTCTTGTGCTGCATATAAACAGAGTTTTGTTTTTGAAGGTTGCTAGGAAGGGGACTAGTTTACTTGTGAAATATATTATGCAGTCAGAAACACTCAGATCTTCACATAATGAATCATACTTTGAAGTGTTTTTGATGAGAAAACCATAGAAGTAGATATACCAAGCTCTTGTTACTTATTGTCCCCCCCCCCATAATTCTGAATAACTCGCATTCCAAGTTAAGTTAAACTTTATCCTTATGCGCTCTGCTTGATTCATGTTCCACAAAAGGATTTCAAACAGACATGCATTTTCCCAATGTCCAAGCTTGGCAGACAGGATTCAAATTAATCACTGATAATTACTGTGTTTATAGATATACATTCTAAATCTTGGGGTTATTTTTTTAAAAAAAGTTCTTTTACTAAAAGGCATTGATAATTTTGTGCTAAAGCTTCTTGGGTTGTGCAGTCAGAACACTCAAAAATCTATGTGCAAGAGGTGCCGTGTTATGATTTTAGAAATCTGAACTTCAGCATTTCTTTTGATCTCAGTTTCAGGCTTGCTTAGGCGCAGGAGAAAACTTGAAAATGTTTGTCTTACAAGGTCAACAATCAGAAATCTCTTGATTTGTCTTGTCCTTTCAAGACAGTTTATAATGTAGTACAGTAGATTCTTACAGATTTGATGTTGGTGTGTGGGGGCAGTCTGTGGCATTCAAACATTGGAGGTAGGGCTGCCAGGTCCCCCGGGGGAGGGCGGGGTTTTTCCCACTGAAAGGGCCCTCAACCCGCCGGTCTGGATCCGGCCACAGGGGGGAACTCCACCCATAAGTGGCCAAATTGGGCTGACGTGCCCAGCATGATGATGTCACCCGGAAGTGATGTCATCATGCTGGGTATGTTGCCGGGCGACACTCTAGCAATTAGCCTAAAAACTTTATGGTACTATAGAGTTTTCAGGCTGATTGCTAGAGCATTGCCCGGTGACGTGCCAAGCATGATGACATCACTTCTGGGTGATGTCATTGTGGTGTGTGCATGAAAGAATTCCCAGACGGGGCGCAGGACTCCCCCACTATTATGAAGGTAGGACTTGGCAACCCTAATTGGAGGTGACACTTCTATTGTAGGAGTACTGCACAGAGGTCATTTCGGGGGGGAACACGGGGGAACTGGTGAGGTACGGGGGGCGGGGCACATGACGAAGCCCCGCCCCCTGCTTCCGGCCGCCCCGCTTCCGGCCCTCATTCAGCCAGGAGGAGGCAGGAGAAGAGGGAGGGTAAGTTGCTTCCTCCCCGCCTCTCCCCACCCCTGCCTGCCTGGGGCCAGGGAGGGCCTTCGCGGGGCTTCCTTGCACTCCCGCCGGCCTTGCAGGTCCACCGCCGGGCCCCTCATGGGGCTCGGCAGTGGAGCTGCAAGGCCGGCACCGGCGGCCAGGACCGTTGGAGGCGGGGTGTGTGGCTTTATGACACACTTCCGGTGATGTCAGGAGGTGTGGCCTCATGACACACTTCCGGTGATGTTAGGGGGTGTGGCATATGCTAATGAGTTATGCTAATGAGTTCCCCTAGCTCTTTTTCTACGAAATGACCCCTGGTACTGCATATTCACAGTACTCAATCTGCAGGTCCTTTGTTTGGCACTGAGAGGTACCCTTTGCACATTCTCCCAGCTGTCAAGGAATGGCTTAACTCTGAATGGCTCCCATTCATTTATGAGGCATTTTAAAAGATTGGATATTGGAAATACATTTAATCACATTGCTCTTTTGAGAGGCAGGCGATATTCCATATGAAAGAACTATGCCAGTGGTTGGGTCATTGACCAGTTCAGTTCAGTTCAGTGTGGAATTATTCTGGTGTAACCCCATGGAAATCAATGGAGTAACTCTGGCAGGATTCACTGTTAAACACTCTCCCTGCCACATAGGCCATTTAAAGCCACACACCCATTTAAAGGGACCTAGTCTCATTGGTTCTGTATCATATGGGATATTAGGGAAGGGACTAATGACTAAATTCTGAAAGACCTGTGTATAGTTTTACAGATAAAAAGAGGATGCAAAGCAGAGATATTCAGAAATAACCCTTCAGTTGAAAAAATATAGGGTTGCCAGCCCCCAGTTCCCAGCAGGGGTTCCCTTGCTTTGGGGTGCTCTGATCCACCAGTGGCCAGTTGGCCAGCCCCACCCCCAACAAGGGATATCATCACATGATGTCTCTGGTGCAGTGACATCACCCAAAAGTGATGCCATCATGTCAGTGATGCTCTGGTTTTTGGGTGAACGCTATGGTTTTGAAGCCAAATAACCATAGAGTTTTGCCCAGAAGCCAGAGTGTCACATGCAATGTTGCCGATGCGATGATGTCACTTCCAGGTGATGTTATCGCACCAGGGACAATGTGCGCAGCATCCCACCCACCCATGGAGTGCCCCCCAGATCCCCCCACCCCAATGGCAAGGGGACCCGGCAAGCCTAAAAAAGCAGAATGCAATACAATTTGCTTGTAAAAAAAATATACTACGTTGAACTATATGTTGCCTTTTAACTAAAAGTCATTTCCTATATAAATCTACAGGCTGGATTAGAATTTTTTTTAAAAAAAGGTTTCACATTTTATATTGTATCACAGGTGTGGTAGTCTTATAAACAGCATACTGGTAACCAGTGTTCCCTCTAAGCTGAGTTAGTGTGAGCTAGCTCACAGTTTTTTAGCCTCTGGCTCACACATTTTTGTCTCAGCTCAGGAAGGAGGGCTCCAGAGCAAACTAATTTATGCAGCAGCCAAAGCTCCTGCTCACAACTTTAATGCCAGTAGCTCACAAAGTAGAATTTTTGCTCACAGGGCTCCATAGCTTAGAGGGAACATTGCTGGTAACACTGTATTGGCCATGTATATTCAAGTCCAGTAGCACCTTAGAGACCAATAAGATTTTGGGGGTATGAGCTTTGGAGAGTCAAAGCTCCTTTTGTGTCAGAGATTAGACCAATGGTTATCTTTTGACGCAACTCTCTAGCAAAGGGAACTTTGACTCTCCAGAGCCTATACTGCAAAGGTCTCGTTGGTCTCTAAGGGGCTACTGGACTCAAATCTAACTCTTCTACTGCAGACCAACAGAGCTTCCCTCTCAAACTGTGTTGACATATTCTTACATTTTAATCTTGTTCAATTTTTTTTGTCTTATATTCCAGCTGATTGTGATCTGTAAAAGGCTTAAACGATTGCTACTTTTAACCAAAGTTCTCAGATTGCCCTCCAGAAGATTGAAAGATTTTTTTTTTTAAGTTCATCCAAATGGCAGATTAGCAAACGAGAAATGGTGAAACGCTGCCTCAAGGTCACTCACCAAGTGTGCAACATCAGAGATGCAAATTGAGCTGTGGTCTTCAATTGTGTTCTCATAGGCCAGAGCGCTCTCATCCGCTGAGGCTCATTAAAGCCTCATGAATGGATATGTATGATAAGCATGTATCTTTAATGCTTTATTCCCATTTTGTTGTAGAGAAGTGTTGGATGTTTATGAAGCAGGGAAACAGTGGCCTTGATTCAGGCTTTCCCAGTTAGCACTTGTCACCTCCTGCTGTGTGTGTCTGTCCATGCAGTTCTTCCTGCTGGCTAAGACTAGCATACCTGTTCCTGATCCTGCAATAACTTCCTTCTGGAGTTTTCTTTGAAAAGAAGCCCACGGGTACTCTCAGAGGAGATGCATGCAATAATGGGCGTGCACCTTATAACAATGGTGTATTCTTTAAAATGTTTACATTCTTCTCAGAAAAACATATGCTCAAAAGATACAGCTCGCAGTAGAATTATCAATAATATTTTGTTAAAGGCTTTCACTGCTGGAGTTCATTAGTTGCTGTAGATTTTCCGGGTTGTGTGGCCGTGGTCTTGGCATTGTAGAACCTGATGTTTCGGCAGTAGCTGTGACTGGCATCCTCAGAGGTATAACACAGAAAGATGGAGAAAGACAGAGAGTACTCCATCTTAGCCACCCTGAGCCCGTTCGCGGGGAGGGCGGGGTAAAAATGCCAAAATAAATAAATAAAATCTTTCTGTGTTATACTTCTGAGGATGCCAGTCACAGCTACTGGCAAAACGTCAGGATCTACAATGCCAAGACCACAGCCACACAACCAGGAAAATCTACAGCAACTAATTATCAATAGTATTCTTTGAACAAGATGAACAGAAATACCAGTTTTGTCAAATCAGAGTTAACTTGTAAACTTGATTGGTGACTGGTGACATTCTCAAATCTGGAGGTGCGTTTTATATTTTAACTTCTTACTGTTGCATAACTATTGGGCTTATTTCCAGGGAGCTACAGGCCTCAGGCTCATCCCTGAACAGCAGATAGTTGTAATTCAGTGGAATGTATTAAAATTCTAACAAGGGTAGTTACTGCTTGTGTAGCGTGGGGATGAGTGGTAATCAGTTGTCTATTTACTTGAAATTTGATGTGCCTTTTTCTTCTTTATTTTCCCATCAAGATAATTGTTGGAGAAACTGCCGTGTTTTGCCTACAAATGGCCACGCGGGATTTTGAAAACCAAGAAAAAACAATCTTAACCGGAGACTGTTGCTATATAAATCCACTGGTGCGCAGGACTGTCAGATTCCTTGGTAAGAATGTTTGGCATTACTTTTAATTCTTCATTAGTTATATGGTGAACAAATGATGACAGGATAAAACCTTTCTTATTTGAATCTTGGTTATCCAAATTACAGGCCACTATGCATCCTATAACATTGTTAGATGACATGACCTGCGCTCTTTCTTGTCCATACTTGTGGTTTTTTACACAATGATCAAAAGATGCATAGTTTAACACTGCATCAGTTGTGCTGGTTTTCCAGGAACAGAAACTGAACAGCTCTAGTCTAATCCAGAGGAAAAGTACTTTGTGGCTGTAGTCACATGAGCAGTTTGCAGTGATATCGTTGCGGTACCTTTGTGAATTTAAGGAGCATGATCAGACAACGACATCTGCCTTCTGTGCCCCAGTGGTGGCCTCCCTGTTGTGCCCCGCTAAAGAAGCAGAGTAACCAGGCATCGGGGAAAGTCCAGTCTTTACCAATGACAGCACTTCCACTCAGCTTTTCCAGCTGTCTGAACTCCCCTGTCACGAACTGCAGCCAGATGGGAAGTCTGAACCCGCAGATCCATTTCCACCAGTTGGGGTTTTTTTTGTTTTTGGAGTAGCTGCCAATATTCACATAAGTTCATGAATGCATATGTGCATGTACCCACCTGATTTTTAAGGAAACTGACTGGGCAACACACTCTAGTTGAAGCGCTGCAATAATGTTGACGCCTCACCACTGGATGAGCTCATGCAGCCCCGTAGCTAGGGAATTCTTTGGGAGGGGGCCCTGGGGGGGCCTGCCAGCTAATTAAATGGAAGTACAGTGCAGGTGGTAAATTAGAGCACTTTGGGGGCAGCCCCAGAGGGAAGGGGGCCCAGAAGAAACACAAGGGGGCCGGGCCCCGTGGGCCCCATGTTAGCTACAGGCCTGAGCTCATGGGAAAACCGCTGCAGGGTGTGCTGTCTGGTCGGTCCTTCCCACAACAATTTGAACCGGCACACTTACAGATATGCCCAGATTGTGCCTAACCTCCAGTGTGACCACAGCCTGTGAATTTATGTAATATTTGAATTGGGTTGAATCCAATCAGCATTTTTGCTAGTGTGAAGAGGAAGAGTGGTGACCTTGTCCAGTTCTGCTCCTCTCAGCAGCCATCCTGTGTGGCTTTTCATCCAAGCAGGTCTCATGACGTATAGTGTAGTTTTTTAGTGATCAAAAGGGCCTCTCCTTCCTCTTGCTGCAGCAGAAAGCTGATGTGAGCCACTTCATTGTCACTTCTGAGGGGATTACATCACTGCTGTTTATCTTTGCCTTGTCTCAGCTGAGAAAGAAAGCAATGGCTGTTGAAGGATGTAGCTGAAAAACGCATCTTCTCACTCTTTCTGGGATTGGTCCTTGCAGTGTTTAACTCTGTGGAATTAGGCCACCTAACTTTAGCTATGACGTTTGAGCACCAGATGCAAACATATGGCCTGCCTTCTTTGAAGACCTGTTCATTTTTTTTTGAGATTTCCATAGGCTATAGGTACTCATTCTGTGGCTCCATCAACCAAACGAGCAAAATTTACTTCTGTCCCTGGTATGAGGCTGGCACCTCAGGGAGACTCACAGAGAGGTCTGCAAAGCCGTAGCGGGGGATCCGTGCGTCTTCTCAGGATCCCTGCCGCGGGGGACAGCGATACGCGTTGCACCGCCGTCGCCAGAATGTGACGCTACGCGTCGCTCTGGCAACGGGACTCCAAACAGCCCCATTGCCAGAGCGACGCGTAGCGTCACATCCTGGTGACGGCGGTGCAACGCGTATCGCTGTCCCCCGCGGCAGGGATCCTGTGAAGACGCACGGATCCCCCACCGCAGCTTGGCAGCCCTACTCACAGCTTACCTGTTCTTCCAATGGCAGGTGTTTCAAGGTAGAAACCACCTGCCAACCTCAAGATGTACCAGGTGAGGTTTTTGTCCACTTTTCTGAAACACGGTACAGGTGTCACATTGAGGATCAGTGTACATAAGAGCCATGTGGAATTTCAAAAAGCCATATTTGGCTGCCAAATCACTGCATATCTTTGCCATAGGTATTGTGGAATAACAAAGCACAGAACAGTTCCACTCTTCATTGGAGATGTAGTAGTATTTATTTATTTAATCTCAAGAGTTGTAGGGACCACCAGGCGCATCTAGTTCAACCCCTTTGCTGACACAGGAATCACAACTATAATATCCCCAATAAGTAGGTATCCAATTGATATTTTAACAGTTTTCAATGACAAAAAATCCAACACCTCACAGGGGAGAATGTTCCAATGTTGAAAACACCTCACCACCAGAAAGTTCTTCCTCAAATTTAGATGAAAGCACCTTTGCTGTAGTTTGTATCCATTAGACCTAGTCCAATAATCCAACATGACTGAAAACATGTCTGCCTCATGCACCACGTGGCATCTCTTTAGGTATTAGAAGGTGACAGTCATATCACCTCCCAGGTGTCTGTTCTCCAGTGTAGAGATTTGCAGCTCCTGGGTGTTCTTTTTATTCATCTTGAGAGTCACAACAATATTTAGATATAATGCATTGTAAACTTAGTAAACTGAGATTTTCAAAAAAAGAAAAAACTGGCATGAATCAAAATTATTTCTGCAGAGTAGATTTAAGGCATTTCATAAAACATTTATTTGCTCTTGTAAAAAGTTTTCAAAGGCCCCGTCCATACGAGCCCATTTGGGCCGGGAGCGGGATGGAACCGGGGCGGAGCAAACAGGCGCGATCTCACCTCAACATCTGGCGAGCGTGCCGTCTCCGTCCCCGATCCGTTCCAATGGCCCATACCGCGCCGCAAAAAACAACCACCTCTCTAGGTGGTTGCAACCACTGGTGCGGCGCAGGCAGGGCTGTGGGATCGGCGGCGCGTCCTTGCGCCGCCGCATCCCGGCCCCCAGCCATACTGCGCATGCCCGAGCATGCGCAGTTCGGCAGCCTCCCCCCTCCCCTCGGACTTTTCCTCCCCGGCATCTGAGCGTGCCGGGGAGTGCTGCGCCGCAGCTAGGGGATCCGTGGGATCCCGCCGCGGCGTAGCAAGTTTGGAGCGGCTCGGAGAAGCCGCGTTGCAGCCGGCCCGTATGCCCGGGGCCAAAGTATCTTAAGGCAAATGTGATGCTTCTCAAGTTCAACTGAAGCTTGATATTCCTAGATGGAATTCTAAGGATCTTGAAAACACTCCTCCCTGCTCATCTTGGAAGAATTTACCACATGATAGCGCATCTGCTTTTTCATTTCAGTAATCAGATGAACACATCTCTTCTTGATGAACAATGAATACCCAAGTCCTAATGTATGCAGTTTTCATAATAAACTATTTGGAATAAATAGCTTCTCAGTTCTGTTAATATTTTGTTGACTATGCAATATGGAGAAGTTTATTCAGAGGCAGAGAAATTACAAGAGTGTGTGTCTAGCAATATGAGAGATTCAGCACTTCATCTAACTTGGTTGGGGAAGAAATAAAGTTGAAAGGAGATGATCCAGTTCCCCAAATATTGTTCTTTTATGTTGGCAGTGCTTGGGTCTCTAGAACCATGATGAGCTCAGAGGCTTTCTTGGCTGGTGAAATTTTACATGCGTAATTATAATATCTGTTCTCAAAGTCCTCTTCTGTAAGGATTTATGTCTAGCTTTAAACTTTTGAAGAACTTTTCTGGGATGAATACACAAAGCCGAGTTATACTCTTCTAAGCCCATTGATCTCAGTGGACTGATAGAGATATAGGTCTGTTTAGGATTGCACTGTTAAAGACTGTCCTGTATGGCAGTTACCAAAAATCAGCAAATACCGTGCTACAGATGATTATAAAATATCTCAATTAATTTTTATATATCACAATATCTTTTGTGATATGTTAAGAGATAATACTTAGATGTTTGTATTAAGGCTTATATAATAAATAATATATTGTGAATAAATTGTAAAAATATAATACAAACATATATAAAAATTATTTGAGATATTTTATAATCGTTTGTAGCTCTGTATTTGCTGATTTTTGGTATTTCTTACTTACCATGGGTCCTATTTTGGTTTTGTGAATTGCTATATGGCAGTTAGGCAGCCTTCTTAAATTAGCCAATTAAACCAGTACTTTGAAAGAAGTAATTGAATGCATGAAGCTGATAGAAGCATACTCAGAAAGAAGTGCCACAGATATCATTTGGATTTCCAGTGCAGTCCAGAGCAGAATTAACTCTTGAAATCTATGTGTAGAAGGGTGTAACTGTTTAGCATAGTGCTGTAAGGATTACAGCTTAATTTATTATATATTGATAAATATTAAACATGAAAAACTAAAATATGAACTTGTTCAGTGTTACATTAATGTGAGATTCATTTTGTGTTCTTTGTCCAGTAGAAGGAAAGCATGGATTTACCTTGCAACTGAGTTGCAAAAAGTACAGTAATTTAGGAGCGGATCTTACTTCCAAAAGCCAGGCCCTGTTCATACGAGCCCATTTGGTCCGGAAGCGGGACGGAACAGGGGCGGAGCAAACCGGCACGATCCCACCTCAACATCTGGGGAGCGTGCCGGATCCGTCCCGGTTCCGTCCCTTCCAGCGTTGCTCCGCGGCGAAAAAGAACCACCTCCCGAGGTGGTTCTTTCCGAAGGGCCGCAGCAACGCTGGCCGTGGGATCGCCGGCGCGTCCTTGCGCCGGCGCATCCCCGGCTCCTGGCCGAACTGCGCATGTGTGAGCATGCGCAGTTCGCCAGGCTCCCCTTCCCACCGCTGCGTTCTCCCCGGCATCTGATCGTGCCGGGGAGCGTTGCGACGCGGCTCGGGGGATCTGTGAGATCCCGCCGCGCCGTCCCAACTTTGCCGCGGCTCACTTTAGCCGCGGTACGAGCACCTAATTCCCTGCCGTGTGGCAGGGACCCCTGAGAACCAACAATCTAGGGACACAGAATGCTGTTAGCAGTGCTGCAAGCCATGCAAACTTTTTATATATAGCTGGCTTTTATAGCTGGCTTCTCCTAATAACTCAAAGCAGTTATTACGTGAAATGAGTAAATCAATAGGTAATAGCTTTGAGATTCAAGGCCACATGATGTTTTCACATTTTAAAAAAGCAATCTGTGAACTAAGTGAATAAAAAACATATGGGGGAAAAATAAAATTGCCTTACATACATCCCTGGAAAGCACATTCATGGGACAGTTATTCAGGATTTTCTTTGCACCTTCTGTCTCCTTGTTGCCACAGTCAATGAGATCTGTTGTTGCTGATGCAATCGGCAAATGGAAGAGGGAAAAAGAGAACTTTTCCTTGATTTCCTCTCATCATTGAGCCATTTTGCTTAGGAGGTTCTCCTGGTCCTCAGGGATAAACTGCTGGTTGCTTGAGGAAGGTGGAAGGCAGGGAAAGATCAGCTCTAGGGATGTGCTTTCGGCTAAATCTGAGCTGAAAAAACATCTGAAAAACACCTTATTGGTATTTTTATAATATTGTTTCAGCCAGATAGTGATTTCTGTCAGAAATGGCCAGGCGCCAAAAATCCTAAAAATATTCAGGATTTTCGGGACTGCCATATAGATGAACTTAAAGGGCATTTTAAAGGGATCACAGTGCCTTTAAATGCCTTCTCCAAGCCACATGACTCTGCAGTGAGTGAACTTCAAAGGCTTTTAAAAGGGACTGCAAGCCTTTAAACACCTTCAGAGTCCTCCAAACCATAGAGTCGCACGGCTGGGAGAAGGCATTTAAAGGGACCACGATCCCTTTATATGTCTTTCCCCCTCCATTGAAAGCAATGGAGGATGGGGGCACCTTCTTTGGGGACCCATAGAATTGGACCCCTGGTCCAGTCTTTTTGAAACTTGGGGGGGGGGGTTTGAGGAGAGGTACTAGTAGCTATGCTGCAAATTTGATGTCTCTACCTTAAAAAAAAGCCCCCCCAAGCCCCAGATACCCCTGGATCAATTCTCTATTATACCCTACGGGTACCATTAGCTATAATGGTTCCCATAGAGTATAATGGAGCGAAAAATTCAGGTTTCCCGAATATTTCCTGAATCTGAATACTGTACTGGTATTGGGTTTTCAGAATATCAGAAAGTAACAATATTTTTCGGGTTCAAAATACTTGAACCCGAAAAATATGGGTTTTTTTACACACCCCTAATCAGCTCCACCAAGACCTTCTGTTAACTTTTCCTGTGGATCCAACTCAGAATTCACAGCAAAATCCAAGATACCTTATTTCTTTTGTTTTTGAATCACTTGGCTAATGTAAGATGTTGTGCTGTATTTACTTGAATATTGCATTTCCCTTGTATCAAAAGTGCAGAAATTTACTTCTTCCTATTCTTTTTCTTTCTGTAGGTATTTACACATTTGGACTTTTTGCAACAGATATATTTGTAAATGCAGGACAAGTAGTAACTGGGAATCTTGCACCACATTTTCTTGCACTTTGCAAACCCAACTACACTGCTCTTGGATGCCAGCAGTTCACACAGTTCATCAGCAGTGCAGAAGCATGCTCTGGAAACCCAGAGCTAATCATGAAAGCCAGAAAAACATTTCCATCCAAAGATGCAGCTCTGAGCATATATGCAGCGACATATCTGGCTGTAAGTAAATCAGAGGATCTAATTTTGTGATGTTTTGTTTATTGGGCTTTCCTATTTAGTTATATGTTATCTCAGCAGTATGCAGCATATCACAGGTTTGCATTTGCTACAATTGTGGATATGAAATACCATGTATGAGGCTAGATGTGAGAAGGGAATCTGTATTGCATGTTCACCCAAACCACCCTCCGACATCTGCACATTAGATCTTCATATTTGCATAGTTGCCTGTATTATGAACTGCTTAACCTCCTACCCATTTGGTTCATTTCTTGTTCACCAGTGGTGATTAGGCAGCCAATTAATCAATGGCAGTTTGTAACTTCATTGTGTGCATTCACAGGAACAGGTTACTTGCAGCCGTCACAAGCAGATTTCCAGCTGATGAGGGATCAGCTGGGAATGGGCTTCTGATCTCCTGGCATGGGAATTTTGCTGTATACTCAGCCAGGGAGGAAGAGCAATGAGCTCTGTCTCCTCTAACTTTTACAATGCAAAGATTAAAAGCATTGCATCTTTTCTGCTAAGCCTGGGTGCAGGCAAGAGAAAGGAGCTCTTTCTGTGCTCTGTTTTGCAATGTAGACATTAAAAGTATTTGTGTTCCTGGCCAATTTGGAAGGATGGGAAGAAAAATGAGCTCTTTTTCACCTGTTTGCAATGCAGAGATCAAAAGCATTGCTTCTAGCCCAGTCCAGCCTAGAGGAGGGAGGTAGGGTTCCCAAGTACTTACCACGATCCGGCAGGGGAAACATGCTCCCCGGCTGGACCATTCCTCCCTGTAACGCACCATGCCATCGCCAGGAAGTGACGCTGGGCAATGCTCTGGCAATGGGGCTGAAAACTCGATGGTACCATCAAGTTTCCAGCCCCATTGCCAGAGCGTCGCCCGATGTCACTTCCTGGTGATGGCATGGTGCAGCCTGTCTGTTGTCCCCGCGGGAATGATCCTGTGAAGACGTCTGTGTCCCCCGCCAAATCACGGTAAGTACTTGGGAAGCCTGGAGGGAGGGGAAGAGAGCTCTTTCTCCTTTCCTTTTGCAGCTTCTCACTGAGGGGGCAGGGTGGATACCAATCAACTCCCAGCTGATCCCCCTGATCAGATGTGAGATAGCTTCTGACGAGTAGACAGCTGCAATCTTGTTTGGCAGCTGTTTGAGTTGCTTAAAGAGCCAATGTAGTGTTGCAAGGTAGTGGTTAAGAGTGTCAAACTAGTATCTGGTAGACCCAGGTTCGAATTCCCTCTCATGCCATGGTAGCTTGCTAGGTAACCTTGGGCCAGTCATACTCTTTCAGCCTAATCTACCACACAGGGTTGTTGTGAGGATAAAATGGAGGTGAGAAGAATAATGTAAACCACTTTGGGTCCCCACTGGGGAGAAAAATGGGATTTTAATGAATTAAATATATAAATAAATAGTTAATGCAGTCCAAACGGATCCTTGATCAGTTCACAGTTTGATTATGTTGTACAAGGTACGTTTATTTATCAAACAGGTTTGCTGACATATTTGTAGCTCTAGCTCTAATCACAGAATGTGTAGAATTCTGTGTCAGCATGACAGAATGCATGGATGATAGGACTAGGGGTGTGCATTAGTGCAATTTTAAATCTCCTACAATATGTTAGGCTGCTCTCAGTGAACCACAAGTAGTGTTCCACTAACAAAATGGAATTTTCCCACCTATCCCGTCTTGCTTCAACCTAACCTGGCCTTTGAAATAGTGTCCCCTGGTCTCCTAGAACAACACAGGGTACAGTGTGGGTATCTATGATGGAATAGGGAAGCTGATTGAAGTTTCATCCTTGGCAGATGGAAGTGCTCTTCCACCAGCAGAAGGAAGCATTGGACAAAACTCTCAAGTAGTCACAAATGGTTTACTACACATGGAAATCATAATGCTTAGTTTTAGGTTGAGGGTTCAGAGCATGTTACATCACTTCAGTAATCCTTACAGATGTTCTGTAAAATAGGTCAGTATTGTTACCCCAGTATTACAGAAAAATAGCTGAAATAGCAGCTTGTGAATTCATGGCTGAGGTGAAATGTGAACCAAAGATTTTGCTGCTCACAGCTCATTCCTAAAGCCCTATGTAACACTGCCTCTGAGTATCATAGCAGTAGCAATATCTTTGAACTAAATTCTAAAATGATGGTGTAAATGCTGTGTTGTGGTTGGTAATATCTTCTCCAGTTTAGACACCTTAACTCAGAGTGTCAAACCTATGGCCTGTGGGCCAGAACCGGCCTGCCCAGGGCTTTGATCCGGCCCCCGAGTGGGGCTCTCCTCTCCCCCTTGCCCCCTCCCCTATCCATCCTCACCCTTCTGAGCTGCTGCTGAGTGCATGGAGCAGAGGGCAGGACTGCTGAACTTCCCAGCTCACTCTGCCTCATCTTCACCTGCTTCTCCTGTGCCTACTTCTCCTTCTAAATGAGATCTCTTTGCAGCTGCTTTTGAGTAGCATAACTGGGTTGGGGGATGGGAAAGGGAGGGTTGATTTTGGAGGCTGGCCACTTTCTGTAGTTGCCCTTGAACCTGGAACAAGGCTGTGGTGTTTCATTGTTATTATGGGGGGGGGCACGTTGGGCCTGGGATGACTTTGAATTTCTGCGTTTGGTCTGCTGGTGATGTTTCTGTGATCATTGAGCAGAGGAGAAAGAGGCTGCCAGGGAAGGGATGTACTAAAAAAAATGACAGGATTGCCCATTGGAAATAATGGGAGAGGCTTTGAAGGTTCATTGGAGATAATGGGAGCCGGAATGCCAATTGACTTGTATGAGTTCCATTGAAATACATAGCAGTACAAAAAATTGCAAAGAAAATGTGGAATGGTCCCAGATGGACTACTCTGGGACTGGAATGACAGCCCCCAGAATGGAATGATGGTCCCAAGGAATAGAAACAGTGCTCTGGTCCGACTGGAATGACAGGCTGCAGAATGGAATGATGGCCACTGGGAGTAGCAGAGGCCTTCTGGGACTGGAATGACAGCTCCCAGAGTGGAGTGACAGTTCCTAGGAATAGAATCTGTGCTCTGGGACTGGAATGACAGCCCCCAGAGTGGAATGATGGCCCCTGGGAGTAGCAGAAGCATTCTGGGAATGGAATGACACCCCCTGGAGTAGCAGAAGCATTCTAGGAATGGAATTACACCCTACGAGTGGAATGACAGTCCCTAGCAATAGCATGTTTATATTTTAAGTTAAAAAAAATAACATTTTTAATCATGTTTGTATCCTTTATAAAGTTTATATCTCCGCTACCTGGCATTACATTTTATGACACACTTGACCCAGCCAAACAAAGTCCCAATTATGTCAGATCTGGCCCTCATAACAAATGAGTTTAACACCCCTGCCTTGACCATTGCATTTCACAAGATGAAAAACTTAACAGGGGGGGCCGATCCTACAGATTCATTCCACTGATAGTAAAACTTGTCTCTAGTGTAGGGAGCCTTCTACCAATGCAAGTTTCTTCTTTATGATCCCTTTGTATGCACCTGTGTAGGTTCTGAACGTGTACATTGCTTCTGTTCCCTCAAGAAACTGTGTGGGCATCCCTCTCAGAGGAAGAAGCACCTTGAAGGCTTTTAAATTTTCTTGTCCTAGAATTGTCCTTTGCAGGTCCCTAGGCCTAGGGGGCCTTCTCCATCATCCCTTCAAAAACTGCCAACAGCTGCTACTGTTTTTAGCTATGTATGTAGGCATACTATGGCAGGGACCTCTGTCAACAGCCATTTACATTTTCCACTTCATTCATTGCCCAAAATTTAATTCTTGCACCTTTGTCAGGAGATGAGCATAATGTTTCTCCATTGATTTTTTGATGCCTCCTTTTACTTTTCTTTCTAAAAGGAGAAGGGATGATTGCATGACTTAAATCAAGTTTGATTAGTAACAACACACACATCATGCTTAATTTACTTATCTTCTTCTATGTGTCTGTGGGTGAATTGGTTATTTGGATGGACAGGAATCATTAACAACAATACCTAAAGAGAAGTCTGTGGGAGTTATTTGATGTCAGCTTGAATTTGTCCCACAGTAAGCAAATGCACGTTTTATCCCATCAAAGAGAATTTCCCTCCGGGTGCCCCATTAATAGCTGTGCTGGGCTACTGGAGGGCAACACAGCTGATTTCATGTCACTGTGGCAAGTTTCTGCTAGCCTGGTTTTATGCATTTGGGGGGGGGGGGGAAGGCCCTGGGAAGGGAACCTGACAAAAGTAACGTTGACATCAGTAAGGTCATACAAACAGGCAGAAAAACGTGATCAAAATGTCAGGATACTGGCATATACTCCGCTGAGGTTTTAGGTTAAAAGGTTGTACGTCTGAATTATCTGCAAGATAACCGATAAAAGGCAAGAAATAGTAACTTAAATTTCAGACCAATCTGAATGCCTGGCTTTTGAATTACCACACCTTTTCCATTAGCTGTCTCCAAATTATGTCAATAAAAGAAAGTCCCCTCACTGTAAAATCAACATCCAGGCCAAACTGCTGGATCTAGAAACATGAAATTTGGGGAGAGCACTCCTACCGTGGCGTAGATGCTCACTAAGTGATTTTTAGAAATTCGACCCCTAAGGGGGTCAAAATGGGTAAAATGGGCTCCCCCCCATTGATTCCTATGTGGCTGCCAGGCAGCTGCCTCCTTGCACCCCCCACTCTCTGATTGGTCAGCCTCAGAGCTCAGTGTTCTGAGGTAAAAAACAGTTACAGGGGACTACAGAGAGCTAATGACAGTTGAGGAAATCAGGAGTGGCCAACCGCCTGTGAGGTGAAGCAAAGCCCAGCCTCCCTATGGCTTCAAACATGCTCCCCTCCCTACACCTGACAGGCAGTTGTCTGTCAGGTGCAGCAGCAGTTGCAGGGTGCTTAAATCCACGAGGGAGCAGTAACACCTTAGTGATCCTGCCAGCCCTACCTCCAGATTGGCTTCTAATACTCCTCCCCCTTCCCCCTCCTAAAGTGGACAGGCAGCTGCCTGTCAAGTGTAGGAGAGGAGGTGGGATGCTTACAGCCG